CATCGATGTTGACATACCGGTAGCCGAGAGCGTAAAAGCCGTCGGCCACGAGTCGGTCGGCCATATCCTTGTATAGCTGTTCGTTGACGCAGTCGTGCGGGTATTTCTCGCAATTCTCGTCGGTGTCAAACCCGGTGTACGACAGGAAACCCATCGGTGGGGTCAGCGCCTGGCCGTCGTCTGTCCACCCGTACGCCGTGTGGTGAGCCGCCAATAGGCAGACCAGTAGTTGCATAAACATTGTACAATTTTTTAATTTTTTTGTTTAAGCTAGGCTGTTTTGACGAGTAAAGTTCTAGAATTGTCTCTATGGTAGCTAAATACTGCAAGTTTTATTGATTGAGCTTGTTTATATAGAAAAATGTTTTATGGGTTGTATTGTGCATAGGTACAATTTTTTTAGACTGTAAGACCCTGTTGCTATCCCATTTTGCTCCTTACTAAAGTGCAAAATAATGATAACTCACATGGAACATACGTAAATGACATATGGTTGATTTCTGGAATAATTAACGTTTATTTACTTGATCAAGTTTAAGCCATGCATGTCCTGGATCAATTTTAAGTACATTGGGAATATTTATTAATCTAATAAATATTTTTAAAAAAGTATAAATAAAAGCACAGTAATTATTTTATCGGGCTAATTTGCCCTTATTATCTTAAAAATGCTTTCATATTTATGATAATTAGTTGCTGTTATTGAATAAACAAAATTAAATTAATAAAATACTTTACGTAAACTTGAAATATTAAGGATTTACTAATAATTATTATGTAACAATTAATATAAAGTAATAATTTAGTTATTACTGTTATTACTAGACATTAAATGCCATAATTATACTTATTTTCATTTATTTAGTTAAAACTGTTTTTCATTACAATCAAATATTTTTAATTATTTTATTTATACCATGTGTTTAAAACAATAGGCAAATTAATAATGTCACATTATTAATTAATGTGTTAAAATAGTTAGTGTTGGCATCAATTGTAAAGCAATCCTTGATTTTTTGTTTAAAACATTTATTAAAGTTTTGTGCAATGAATACGAAATTATCGCTAAAACTTTAAATTGACTAAAAAGTGAATAAAATTAGTTTTAATTGTTTCATGTTAATTTAAGTACAATACAGATATTCGACCATAAACATATAATTGGATACAGTATACAAAATACAGTATTACACAATAGCCGCACATAAATAAACTTTTAGCACATTTATGCACATTTGACCTTGATTGTATATTTTTTTAACTGACTATGCGCGTATTTATAAAATACAACACTGGCATCACTTTTTATTAGATAACCAACATGTTCATGTTTTTATTAACAAAGGTGTAAATGTACTTGTTGACTGTAAATACAATGTTTACGTAATTTGATCTAGATATGGTGATATAAACAATGATAATGTGTTAACCATATACTGGTTAATTAAATCAATATTTACAACATTGTAATCATGTAACGTAAATATTTGATTGATTGAACTTTAGTATTAGTATTACATGTAGTGTTGTATTATTTATTAAAAATTAAGTATTATTTTTAATTGTGGTTAATTTATTAATGACTGTGATCATGGTCAATTAATTGTGTTGCAAGTAATATATTGCACGTGTTTTTTGGCCTAAAAATATGTATTAAATAATTTTTTGCGGTAATTATATTTGCAATTAATTAAATTTTTTGTTTTTTGGTATAAAAGCGATGTCTGAGACAATTGTGATCAACGATCTGATGGATGAGTTGCGCGAAGACATACAAAGACTGACCAAAGAGTTGTCATTTGAGAAACAATTGAATGAAATGTTAGAAAATATGAAACAAAAATCACTGGTTTTGATAAACAATTGCAATTGTAATCAAAACATTGAATTATATGACGATTTGATTAAATTTAATAAAATGTATGAATCGTTGAAAAACACACAAAACGTGATCACAATTCAAAGCGACAGTAATTCCGGTAATTATTTAAAAAAATAAAACTTTTTATTTAATTATTAATTAATTTTTACTTCAAATCCCAGAAACAAACGAATCAAATGAAGTGATGGCCGCGAAGTCATTGTTGGAGACAATCGCCGCCACCGAAGACCTAATCGCGGACACCATTACGCCAGACAATGGCCGCGAAGATAGCGATGAAACCGGCGATGACTGTAATGAGCAAAACATGACACACACAGAGCTGTTGAACAGATACTCGCGATCCGTATTAAACAAGACATCATCTCAAGACTCAGCACCACCTGATCCGGAGGTCAATCACTGCCACAAATGCCAGCAGACATTCGCCTCAAGACACGAGTTCCAGACCCACAACAGTCTGGTTCACAGCAAACTTCAGATGAATCACGTGTGCGACGACTGTCACCAGGCGTTCCACTCGGACTACCAGTTGGCCAGACATCGGGCCACCGATCATGTCATCGACTTATCGCCTAAGACAACAACCAATGGCGGACACAAGCGATCGTTGGCCGCAACCCCTCACCGACCGGCCATTAAAATGCGCAAAACTGGGAACCAATTGTTGCCCAAAAGTATGAATAAGAAGAACAATGAGATGAAAATGACGGACAACTCGTCGCTAAAGACTCGGCCACTGAAGTGCGATATCTGTTCCTATATCGGAGACAGCGCTCGAGCGCTCGCAACCCATAAGATGTGGCACTCGCGGGGCGGCGCCGGCGAAGCCGCCGGTAGACCGGGTCGGCAGTCATCGTCTCCAAGAGAGCGATCGATGTCGGGCTCGTCGGACACGCCGTCCACCGTATCGTCGAGCGGTTCCAGAGGTCGTGACAACAACGGCAACAACAAGAGCGCTGATACCACACCACTCCAGTCCATGGATCTGGTTTGGGCCAAATGCAAGGGCTATCCCTGGTATCCGGCGCTAGTCGTAGACCCGGACACCAGTGACGGACCCTATAAGCCGGCCGAAAGTGTGTTGCGGACTCGACCGCCGCCCACCCCTGGCGTCGACCACTATCTCGTCAACTATTTTGACGAGTATCGGCTCTGGTATGACATCTCTGATTGTTGTTCGCCTAACAGTTCCCATGTGTTTAACTCTTGTGTCCCACTGTTTGTCCCACACGTGTAGGCAATGGCTGAGCCGTAAACGCTTGTTCCCGATCGGTGTGGACGCAGACATTGACCGTAAAAAGTTGATTGAATGCCCCGAAGAGGGCGAACGCAA